TATATCACAATGCTATATGGCGAAAAAATGGGTGGATTCTTACCCTCAAATTTCCGTACCACGGATAGCTACGGGCCCCGTTCAGACGGACGAGTTCGTCCATGGTCGGAACAGAGGAGGGGGAGAGAGACAGCTGCGAAGCCCTAGTATACTCCATGTTGTAAACCATACCATTAACCGTGGTGTGAGAGGTATTAAGAGGCAATGCTGGCGAAAGAGCTGCGGTCTGAAGGTCATCGTAAAATTACAATTAATTAAGAACAGAAATGATTTAACACATCTTTCCAGTGGTTACTGAGCCTGAATCCATCTTCTCGGTTGAAATTGTCTCTGTGCTTGTATATGTGAATGGCCTCATGAACGAATCTCTCATGGTAGCCAGTTGGTTTGCAAAGAACCTCCGTCTTGGAGAAGTCAATGTCATGTGAGCCCACTGAATTGTAACAGTGATCTGCCACGGCAGAGGAGTTCGTCTTACCGTGTTTCAAGTCTGCTTTATGTTCGCGGATGCGATCCGAGATATGTCTTTTGGTTTCTCCAATGTAGCTACTACCACAGAGGCACTTTAGTTTGTAAACGCCCGGGTACTGTATGTCTGGAAGAGCATCTTTTACAGATGGAACTAAATCACGGATTTTGTGTACTGTGTTGAATCGGACCTGGATCTTGTGTTTATTCAGGATTTTGGAGATCTTTTTAGTGACCCCTGCAATGTAGGGTAAGGTGATGGTTTTGAGTGGCTCCACAAGAGGATCCTTCTTCATGACTGGAGTGATGGCTTTGCGGATTGTGTAGTCGGAGTAGCCATTAGCCCTGAGAGCCTGGTGTACGTGTTTGAGTTCACTGGTAATGTGTTCCTGGTCGGAAATGCATTGGGCTCTATGGTATAGAGTCTTGATGAGGCAGTTCTTCTGGGATGGATGGTGGTGGGAATCCGGTTTCAAGTAAGCATCTGTATGGGTAGCTTTCCTGTAGACAGAGTGGCTCATTGAACCATCATGTCTCCTTTTAATTAAGACATCCAGAAAGGGTAGTTTGCCATCTTTTTCGACCTCCATGGTAAATCTGATGGCTGGGTGTATGGAATTGATGTGGTCGCGGAATTGGTCTAGAGCAGGCTGGCCATGTGGCCAGATGACAAAGGTGTCATCAACGTACCTCTTAGACAAGACACTCTACAAATCACACTTAAAATTGACAGCAACAATGTCTACATCGGAATGGGAACATGTAGACAATATGACTACCTCTTCGGCTGCCACTATGTCGAACAAATGTAGGGACAATTTGATTTCCAAATTCAATCACCTCTCCAGCAAAAAATCGGATCCACACACCGAAAAGATAGACGTCAACAAAGTCGTAATTAATCGCAGTAACAGTTCCATTTCTGATGGTCTGAAATCCGTTTTAGCTAAAGGTCTAAACTTTGCTGTCACACCGAGACACTTACCGGTTAATGATATCATTGCCCATGTCGACGTTGCACTCAAGGGCTTGAGTCACATCTCTGCAGACGTAGCAAGATCTGAAATCGCTGCAACCCTCAAAAACGCTAAGTTGCCACCTAGCAACATCAGCAAAGACGAACGTTTTGAATTATCTCAATTAAAAAAGAGGGATGATATTGTCGTTCTCTCAGCCGACAAAGGCAATGCCACTGTCATCATGGACAAAACAGAATATAACAACAAAATTCAAGAACTACTCAACGATGGCAGCTATACAAAAATAAAAAGAGATCCCACCAACAGCCTGGTCACCAAAACGAACAAAATTATCTCTGATTCAACAGCATTAATTGATGAGAACAAACAGTTCTTGTTGAAACCCTCTGCTGCCAGACCACCAAGATTATATGGCCTTCCAAAGATACACAAAGAAGATATACCCCTTCGTCCCATCGTCTCTACTATCAGCTCCCCCACCTACAAACTGGCACGTTTTCTGGCTGATATACTGCGACCTTTCACTGGAAAAACCACCTCTGCGGTACTAAATTCTACTCACCTGGTATCGACAATCAAAGACATTTCCCTGTCCCCAAACGACCTACTTGTCAGTTTTGATGTGGTGTCCTTGTTCACCAAAGTCCCGGTACCTGACACCATCGCTATCATTGAAGACCTGGTTCATCAAGGACTGCATACTGATGTACCCCCCCTGGTGAGACATTGCTTAACCAACACATACTTCACCTGGAATGGAACTTTCTACAAACAAACTGAGGGCACCCCAATGGGCTCCCCCCTATCTCCGGTTGTAGCCAACGTATTCATGGAAAAATTTGAAACTGACGCCATCCAGACTGCCACTCTACGCCCGACCTTATGGAAGAGGTACGTTGATGACACCTTTGTCATCTGGCCACATGGCCAGCCTGCTCTAGACCAATTCCGCGACCACATCAATTCCATACACCCAGCCATCAGATTTACCATGGAGGTCGAAAAAGATGGCAAACTACCCTTTCTGGATGTCTTAATTAAAAGGAGACATGATGGTTCAATGAGCCACTCTGTCTACAGGAAAGCTACCCATACAGATGCTTACTTGAAACCGGATTCCCACCACCATCCATCCCAGAAGAACTGCCTCATCAAGACTCTATACCATAGAGCCCAATGCATTTCCGACCAGGAACACATTACCAGTGAACTCAAACACGTACACCAGGCTCTCAGGGCTAATGGCTACTCCGACTACACAATCCGCAAAGCCATCACTCCAGTCATGAAGAAGGATCCTCTTGTGGAGCCACTCAAAACCATCACCTTACCCTACATTGCAGGGGTCACTAAAAAGATCTCCAAAATCCTGAATAAACACAAGATCCAGGTCCGATTCAACACAGTACACAAAATCCGTGATTTAGTTCCATCTGTAAAAGATGCTCTTCCAGACATACAGTACCCGGGCGTTTACAAACTAAAGTGCCTCTGTGGTAGTAGCTACATTGGAGAAACCAAAAGACATATCTCGGATCGCATCCGCGAACATAAAGCAGACTTGAAACACGGTAAGACGAACTCCTCTGCCGTGGCAGATCACTGTTACAATTCAGTGGGCTCACATGACATTGACTTCTCCAAGACGGAGGTTCTTTGCAAACCAACTGGCTACCATGAGAGATTCGTTCATGAGGCCATTCACATATACAAGCACAGAGACAATTTCAACCGAGAAGATGGATTCAGGCTCAGTAACCACTGGAAAGATGTGTTAAATCATTTCTGTTCTTAATTAATTGTAATTTTACGATGACCTTCAGACCGCAGCTCTTTCGCCAGCATTGCCTCTTAATACCTCTCACACCACGGTTAATGGTATGGTTTACAACATGGAGTATACTAGGGCTTCGCAGCTGTCTCTCTCCCCCTCCTCTGTTCCGACCATGGACGAACTCGTCCGTCTGAACGGGGCCCGTAGCTATCCGTGGTACGGAAATTTGAGGGTAAGAATCCACCCATTTTTTCGCCATATAGCATTGTGATATATAACGACTTATGGTTGGTAGCTTAGCTGATTGGAGAATATAGAGTGTATTGATAACATGAAGGTAATTTATATTTTAGTTTTTATTGGTTCACTATATAGTACTGTGAATAGCTCAGATTTGTAGTCATTTCTGTGATCAGTCACTAGCAAATCACCCAGTTATTTCAATGCTAAATTCGCCTAGTTATTTCAATACTAAATTCTCCTGTTTTGATTTGTACTAAGTGCCTCGGTGAATGTGTATGCTCTGACTTCAACGTAACTATTTCTGTAGCAGTTACAAGCGAATGCCTTAATTTAGCTATTTCAATGCTAAATTCTATGCTAATTCCTTTTAACAATGGGTGCCTCTGCGGATGTGTATGCTTTAACTTTTAACATAGCTATTTCTGTGACCAGTCACAAGCTAATCATTCAGCCTTTTCAATGCTAAATTTTATGCTAATTCCTTCGTCAAGGCTCTTTGTTCCTCTCACACAGCTTAAAAGCCGTGATCTGAACGTGGCTCTCTCACTCCAGCGCTGTCCTACCAGACAGTCTCGCTCCCTTCACCTGATGAAGGCCGCTTGTGTTGTGGCCGAAACGTCGTGAGAATATTATTGTGTTATTTTATTTTATCAATTTATTATTTTATTCTCATTCTACGTGACTTTACCGAAAGAACCAAAGAAGATGAATCATTGCAGTCACGAAAGCTTTAAATCGAAAAATATTTGATATCCTAATTTTTACTTCATATGATTTTCTGCAGCAATAATTTGAGTTTTTCGTAATGTACGACTGTGTGTGCATATTATGGGGCGCGGTAGTGTAGCGGTTAGCACCCTACACTACGAACCCAGTGACCCGGGTTCAATTCCAGCTCGTGGCCAACACCGGTGACAATTATCTAAACCGGTCCTGGGCCTCCCCTATGTCGACTCAGCCTCAAATGAGTACCTGGTGCAGTGTGTAAACATCACCACTGGGGAGACAAAGGCGGCCGGGCGTGACGCTGGCCACCCACCCACACGTGTGCCGTGCCGGCCTCCATAGGTCCTCGCTAACGACACTTGCCCCAACAGTCTTTTGAGGCTATACGGGGGATCTTTGTATTTGTGTGCGTATTAGAATGCGTGGCATCTGATTAGAGTGTGTGGACGTGTGGAAGTGCGAGTAGTCTCATGCGGGTGACACGACAATGCCGAGATCTCGCCGAGTTTGTGACGGCGTGTGCCCGGCTCTCAATTCTCATCGTGCCCATCTTTACCAGCAGGAATCCACTCCCGTACACACCTTCCCTCCTGTTGGCTCCCCTCCCCGCTCTCCCCCGACCCGCCATATCTCATTCTCTCCCATTTCTCTCCCTCTAAATCTGGCTCTGTCCACTTCCTGAAGCCTCATTCCTGAGATTAGATGCTAGAAAGCTGCCACAGGCAAACCTTAGTAATCGGACGCCTTGATTTGACGATATCACATTTATCTATTTTTCTATTTGTGTGCGTCTTCCCCACCCCTCCCAGCCTGGCTGCCTGTGATCATCCTCAACCAGCCATACGTCTCTCCGTTCCACCGGGGGTTCTACTGCGACGACGAGAGTATCCAGTACCCCTTAAAAGGGAGCACCATCACGCACCAAGTGCTCTACGCTGTGGGCATCATCCTGCCGATGGCCTCGGTGAGTTCTGTCGCCCAGATACCGGCCTTCCACGTTAACTCGCACACAACCACAACAACAAGCAACGTCAACAACGGTCGCCATGCATCACGGTGCTATTTTTAGAGACAGTTTCTGATTGCCGGTTCAAAGGCCTATAAACACGTAGGATCACGCTGGTATAGCAGATGAGAATGGGACGCATTACGTAAGTCGAGCGAGGGAGCGGTGGCGCAGCGGGTCGTGCACGGGCGCTGTGACCCCGGAGAACTGAAATAGAGTTCTGCCCGTGGCCAACGTGAATGCCGAATGATATCTGAACCTGTCCTGGGCTCTTGGCTGCTGTTGGTAGCCGTGTAAAGTTTTTTCATGAACCTTCACCAAAGGCGTTCTTCGCACCATCGCTGAGCCCCGTCTTTCTGGCAGAACGGGAGCTGCCTCGGCATGTTGTGGCTGGGCTTGCGGGCTGCAAAACACAGCAGATGCACAGAGACACGCGCACACAGAGGCCCGCGCACACAGACGCGCGCACACAGAGGCACGTGCACAGACACGCACGCACACAGACACGCGCACACAGAGGCACGCGCACAGACACAGACACGCGCGCACAGCGACACGCGCACACAGACACGCGCACAGAGGCACACGCACGAGAGACTTGGTGTTTAGTGTTACACACTTGCTGCCGTTAGCGAGCGCCTTCAAAGCTTCCCACAACAGACATGGGGATGATGTGGCCAGACATATCCAGGTGCCATTGTCTCCCCAGTGGTGATGTTTACACATTGTACCAAGTCCCCATTTCAGGCGGATTTGACCCAGGTGAGGCTCTAGGCGGGTTCAGATACAATTTCCCCGTCATGTTATTTATGGCTGCCAGGATTATTGCACAGTGCACACATGTACACATGGCCACGTGCACGCACGCACAAAGACCCCGCAGACTGCTGAGTAGCATTGTCCTGCTGGATGTTAGAGCCTTCAACTCCCTCACCTGACCTCACTCTCCATCTAAAAATAAACAGCTCTCATAGTCTCCGGTTCGTTCGGTACAGTCATGTAGATAGAAAAAATAATAAAAGAACACGACGTTTTCTAAAAAATACGCGTTTAATAATTCACGACTAAACTTTATTTGAAGCTTTCGTGACTGCAGGAATTGCTCTTTGTTTCTTTCGGCAAAGACACGTGACTTTGCTGAAAGAACCAAAGAGTAATTCGAGACTCAAGATTAAAATCACATTGACATGCTAATTTCTCCAGCCCCCACCCGTCCATACACGCCACATACCCCCCCCCCCCCCCCCCCCCGTGAACTCCTGTAGCCACGACTCTACAAATCCCCCCCCCTCCCGTGCCTATATAAAGCCACAACAGCAGATCATTATTTCGCACCTGATGATGGACGCTTGTGTTGCGACCGAAACGTCGTGTTCTTTTATTATTTTTTCTTCTACCTACTACGTGGTGACTTTACCGAAAGAACCAGGAGAGTATGGATTCCTGCAGTCACGAAAGCTTCAAATCAAGATTGAGCTCTCATACTGTGTGTGTATGTGCATATACACACTCACACACACCTCTGCCTAACGCGACAGTAAAACTTAGTTTGTTTGAAAACTAACCTTTTAATAATAAATCACGTTTGTGGTTTAAAGGCCTGTAGTGATGACACTGCATTGACGGTGCATCAAACATGAACTTTTATGGCGGTGGCGTCACTAGAGTGTGATAGTGAAGCGCTTGACCGTAAAACTCAAGTACATGTTCGTATGAATTAATCTTGACACTCGCGTCGGATGGTCCTGGACTCACAGCCTCGGTATGTTGTCTTCCCTGAACACGGTCAAAAACGCGTTGACATGTCAGATGGTCCTGGACTCGCAACCTCGGTATGTTGTCTTCCCTGAACACGATCAAAAACGTGTTGACAAACAACGCTTGGGGTCTCGGCGCTCGCTCGCAAGAGATGACCTTTGCGGACTGCGACGTCACAGCGATTGGTGCCATCTGTATGAGAGGCGTGATGTTAATGTGACCGTGATGGCAGTGATAATGGTCGTGGTAAATACATACCTTAACGATATTTATAACTTGACTTAAAGCTTTCGTGACTGCAGGAATTCAGATTCTATGGGTCTATCGGGGAAGCCACGTAGATATAATTTCTTTTTTTAATTTCACCTGATGACGATTGCTTGTGTTGTGATCGAAACGTCATGATTTTTTTACAATTATCTTTCTATCTACGTGGCTTTACCGAAACACGCAAATAATATGATATTTCTAACGTGGAGAAGTCCCCATTGCAGACAGAAGTATGCATTGCAAGGGACACCCAGGATGTAAAGTACGTCACGGTGCAATCGTGAAATCAATAAAGACGAGAAATAAATATTTATCCCCACAAAGAATGTAAATAACTTGTGCAACCAACAAACACATTGACACGGTGAAGGTTCTGCTGGTGCTCTTGATAAGGCATGTCATGATGCAACCGTTCATCAATTGACTTTGATTCTTATGCTCGCGATATATACATCAAGTTGCACGTATGCAGGAAACTATAATTAATGTTTATACGTAATTTGGTCATGTGACACCTGTTAAAATACGCGATATATACATCAAGTTGCACGTGTGCAGGAAACTATAATTAATGTTTATACGTAATTTGGTCATGTGACACCTGTTAAAATAAAATTAGGTTCTCGAATGGCATTGCAACCCCAAATCGTGCAAGTTCATTGAATCGGGAAAATGTACGCATGGGTGAACACTGGGTTTGGTGCACTGTAGCTGACTATTCTATTTCTATATCCACACGGTCATTTCAGTGTGAGGTTACCAAAGCACTCCATGTGCCATGAGGCTAAAATTAAATACCATGTTCTCTTCAAGGGTATATCATTGTGTGCTTCGAGTACTGACAAAATATCAAATGTGAAAATTATCCTTCATTGTGAAAAGTGAACGTATCCCTTCACGTAAGTGGCCCAAAGTCCAAGCTGTGTCCTGCTCTCATCTCCGGTGAGCAGAGCCGAGCCAGTTAGTGAAATTCCACATTCCTATGGGGGGGGGGGGAGAATCAATTCATAGGACAAGCACTGGTGACTTCCCCACAAAGTGGAAGGCCACAGAGAGTTTCCAAGTGACACACCCATACAGAGTGGTAACTCCCAATGTGGGGGCACCCCCTTGTGAAAGAGATCACGAGTCTACCTGGTTAAACAACGACACTTCTCGGTGCAGATGTGCACAACTGGTTGAGTGGCCTTTCTCTGCGCCGCACGCACGCACGCACGCATCACCTCCCTGATCAAAGTCGGTTATCTTCAAGTCGAGCGTGAGCTGGGCGGCTGTGTTCGTGGCGAGGGCTTCCTCCGCTCCGTCCGTCGCGTGACGCGACCCGCCGGGTGTGATGGGGGTCTCTCCGTGAGCCGTGACACCTCGCAATTGTTTGTTTCCGAAGCGTTGGTAAAAACCGGTGATGGCTCGCGAGCTCTGGGCGGTGTTGGGATGGGGAGTGTGCGGGGGAGCGTGGAGGCGGCCGGCTCGCTCGCTCGCTCGCTCGGGTCGCAACGTTTGCCTGAGGGACGAGAGGCTACTGAGCTCATCTTCTTTATTGAGCTTCACACGCATTAGGAACGTGACAGCTGCCCCACCGTGTGCCCCCCTTGCAGTCCGATTCTTTTTCACGATTGAGGGTCGTGATTCAATTCGGAAACCTCTCCCTCCTTTGCCATTTGCGGGAATGCGGCGCCTCTAGTGGCCGCGTGCGTCCACGTGAATCAATTTGCACTGCACCCCACTTTCACAATTCGACAAATAACCAATTCCTCACGCGGGCTTGGTGCACGCCTCCCCTTTGCCATTGACACAAAGTGGACACCGCCTCCCACGTGCGGCGTGTGCTGTGCTGCTGCCGATCTACACGGGCGCCTCCCTCCCCCCACACGTGGGTTCTGGTTGTTTTGACCATACTAGATTTGAAGCTTTCGTGACTGCTAGGATCCATACTCTTTGGTTCTATTGGGTAAAGTCACGTAGGTAAAAAAATAAAATAACAAAAATCACGACGTTTCGGCCACAACACAAGCGGCTTTCATCGGGTGAAGGGACGAGACTGTCTGGAGGACAGCGCTGGAGTGAAAAAAAGCCATGCTCAGATCACGACCTTTAAGCTGTGTGAGAAGAAACAAAGCGCCTTGACATAGCTAAGTTAAAGTATACACATCCGCAGAGGCACCCCTTGACAAAGGAATTAGCATAGAATTTAGCATTGAAATAGCTGAGTGATTAGCTTGTAACTGGTCACAGAAATAGCTATGTTAAAGTCAGAGCATATACATTCACCGAGGCACCAAGTACAAATGAAACAGGATAATTTAGCAAAACACAACCACGCTCAGACCGCGGACCTTTAAACTGTGTGCGAGCAAACAAGATGTCCTGACAAAGAAATTAGCATAAAAATTAGCATTTGATTGGCCGATTTTAGAAAAGAGGTGGTGTACGTGCCGGTGCACTTGCCGTTTGGCGCTGGGGGTGGGGGGGAGGGGGAGTTTACCTATTGATGGTGTGAAAAGGGAATTTATAAGAGCTGCGAAAGTTTGGGTATCATCTCTCAGGTCGATGTAGCCCTCAAAGGCGCAGGACACATCCAAGCAGACGTTGCGAGAGCTGAAATAGCCACTATTCTTAAGAATGCTAAGAAACCCATTAGTAACATCAGCAAAAATGAACGCTCTGAACTCGCGAATTAAAAAAAACAGAAGTGATATAGTCATCCTCTCAGCCGATAAAGGCAACGCTACTGTTATTATGGATAAAGATTCATACAACAACAAAATCCAGAATCTGCTCAACGATGGAAGTTACTCAAAAATAAAAAAATGACCCTACTAATAGCCTAGCGATAAAAACCAACAAGATCATCACAAGTTCGACCTCCCTAATCGACCCAACTAAACGTCCCTCCCTAAAACCTTCTGCTGCAAGACCCCCTAGATTCTATGGTCTTCCCAAGATTCATAAAGAAGGCACCCCACTCTGACCCATCGTATCCACGATCAACTCCCCTACCTATAGACTAGCCCGTTTTCTGTCAGATATCTTGCTGCCTTTCACTGGCAAGACCGCCTCAGCAGTACTTAACTCAGCCCAATTGGTTTCTATGGTCAAATACGTTGTACTGTCCCCTGACGATATCCTTGTCAGCTTCGATGTGGTCTCTTTGTTCACCAACGTCCCAGTACCTGATACCATTGAAATAATTCAAAATTTGGTCCAACATGGACTAGACCCCGACACACATGCACTGGTTAGGCACTGCCTCAACAATACCTACTTTACTTGGAATGGCTCCTTCTACAAACAAAATGAGGGTACCCCCATGGGATCCCCCTTATCACCAGTGATAGCCAATATTTTCATGGAGAAATTTGAATCAGACGCCATCCAGACTTCCACCCTCAGACCTTCCCTGTGGAAGAGATATGTGGATGACACTTTCGTCATTTGGCCACATGGCCTCCCAGCTCTGAACCTTTTCCTACACCACATCAATTCCAGACATCACGCCATCAAAATCACCATGGAAGTGGAGAAAGATGGCAAACTACCATTCTTAGATGTTCTGTTTGAGAGGAGACCTGATGGCTCATTGGGGCATTCTGTCTACAGGAAACCCACCCACACAGATTCCTACTTGAAACCTGATTCCCACCACCACCCAGCCCAAAATAATTCTCTCATCAAAACTTTATACCATGGGGCTCATTGCATTTCGGACCAACACCACCTGACCAGTGAATTAAAACATGTACACCTGGCCCTCAAAAGGAATGGTTACTCTGACCGTACCATCCGCCAAGCTGTTTCTCCCTCCATACAGAAACAACCACTTGATACTCTGGTCAAAACCATCACACTATCATATATAGCAGGCGTTACTAAAAAGATTTCCAAAATTCTAAACAAACACAAGATCCAGGTCCGGTTCAATACAGTACACAAAATTCGTGATCTGATCCCATCCGTGACGGATGTCATTCCTGACTTACAGTACCCCGGGGTTTACAAATTGAGTTGTACCTGCGGTGATTGCTATATCGGGGAGACTAAGCGACATGTCTCTGACCGAATTCGCGAGCACAAATCAGATTTGAAACACGGCAAAACGAATTCTTCTGTCGTGGCTGATCACTGTTACAACGCTGTGGGTGATCACGATATAATTTTCTCCGCATGCCGAAACAGCTTTTGTTCGGCCAGATCGAGGGGGCTAAACGGGCGCGGCACGGGCTAGAGAAGAGATGGAGTGATGTGGTACAGGAGGACGTGGAGCTGAGTGGACTTGCCGATGACTGGTACCAGCGGTGTTAAGATCGGCCTCTGTGGAGGAGGCTCGTGAAGGACGCTATTGGGTAGTTGGAGGCAGTCGCCCTAAACAACATCGGAGGGCGGAGGAGCGACGCTCACAAAAACGAGCTGAGCGCCGGGTAGCTAAAGCACAGCAGGTTGGCACAGTAGGGGGCACAGGTGGTGCACCAGCCAGTCATCTCAGTCAGTCGACCCGTGGCACCTGGGTCTGCCCCGTAACCTTCTGCCCGTGGGCGTTCGACACTTCACGTGGCCTCAAGGTGCACATTGCCTGGCACAAGCGTCGTGGTGACATCACCGCCACTTAGTGGCGAATGGCGGTTGTTGTTGTTGCACTGGGACTGTGTGTGTGTGTGTGCACTGGGACTGTGTGTGTGTGCACTGGGACTGTGTGTGTGCACTGGGACTGTGTGTGTGTGTGTACTGGGACTGTGTGGGTGTGTGCACTGGGACTGTGTGTGTACACTGGGACTGTGTGTGTGTGTACTGGGACTTTGTGTGTGTGTGCACTGGGACTGTGTGTGTGTACATTGGGACTGTGTGTGTGTGTACACTGGGACTGTGTGTGTGTACACTGGGACTGTGTGTGTGTACACTGGGACTGTGTGTGTGTACACTGGGACTGTGTGTGTGTACACTGGGACTGTGTGTGTGTGTGTACACTGGGACTGTGTGTGTGTGTGCACTGGGATTGTGTGTGTGTACACTGGGACTGTGTGTGTGTGTACACTGGGACTGTGTGTGTGTGTGTACACTGGGACTGTGTGTGTGTGTGCACTGGGACTGTGTGTGTGTGTGTACACTGGGACTGTGTGTGTGTGCGCACTGGGATTGTGTGTGTGTGTGCGCACTGGGATTGTGTGTGTGTACACTGGGACTGTGTGTGTGTGTGTGCACTGGGACTGTGTGTGTGTGTGTACACTGGGACTGTGTGTGTGTGTGTGTACACTGGGACTGTGTGTGTGTGTGCACTGGGATTGTGTGTGTGTGTGTGCACTGGGATTGTGTGTGTGTGTCCACTGGGATTGTGTGTGTGTGTACACTGGGATTGTGTGTGTGTGCACTGGGACTGTGTGTGTGTGTGTACACTGGGATTGTGTGTGTGTGCACTGGGACTGTGTGTGTGTGTGTACACTGGGACTGTGTGTGTGTGTACACTGGGACTGTGTGTGTGTGCACTGGGATTGTGTGTGTGTGTGCACTGGGATTGTGTGTGTGTGTGTGCACTGGGATTGTGTGTGTGTGTACACTGGGATTGTGTGTGTGTGCACTGGGACTGTGTGTGTGTGTGTACACTGGGATTGTGTGTGTGTGCACTGGGACTGTGTGTGTGTACAGAGCCTCGCTAGACTTTCTGGCACCTGGGGCAAGGTGCCATGACACCGATGCAGCGCCGCCTCGCCAGTATTTGAGCCGTGAGCCGTGTTGCTTGCTGCGTTAACAGAAGTTCGGCGACGCAATAGGTCGGCCGCCTCACCCCGGCCTTCCCCGCCCCAGCCTTGCTCTCTACGGCACCGCGTGATGAGCACGCGCCTCTCTTGCTCGAGGTCATGCCAGAGGAGAGAGGGAGGGTTAGGGGGCAAACAGCAGTCTGTGAGAGGAGCGATGCAGGGGAAGAAGAACTTGATGGCGAGATGGTAGGCAGCAAACGTGAGATTGAAGTGGGGGGCGAGGCTTTGTGAAGGGGGAGGGGATCGGTGGATCGTGGCACTGCAGCCCGCGCTGGCGGTGGACGGCGTTTAGATCGCACAATGAGTCTTGCATTTACATTCCTGTTCAATTGCAGACTAGCACATTATATAACTTGGCCGTCAATGCGGCGGCAGTGTCATCGCAAGCGCGCGCCTCTGCACGCCTCTTTGCGCGCCCGCCAACTTCCCTCCCGTCGCGTTTGCGTCCACCGCAGATGATCGTGGGCGAGTGCGTGGCCGTGCGCTACCTCAAGCACCGGCCGACGTCGTTTGTGCACAGCCCGTACGTGGTGGCCCTCTACCGCGCTCTGGGGCCCTTCCTGCTGGGCATGGCCGTGAGCCAGAGCTTCACCAACGTCGCCAAGTTCGCCATCGGCCGTCCGCGCCCGCACTTCTTGGCCGTGTGCCGCCCCGACCCCGCGCTGCTCAACTGCTCGGCCGGCTACATCACCGACAAGGTGTGCACCGGTGCCCCCGACGACGTCATCGCCGCACGGTGAGGATTCGGCGCGCTCGGAGGTGCGCTCGTGGAACGTGCGCGTGTGTGGCGTGTGTGTGTGTGTGGTGTGTGTGTGTGGCGTGTGTGTGTGTGTGTGGCGTGTGTGTGTGGCGTGTGTGTGTGTGGCGTGTGTGTGTGGCGTGTGTGTGCGGCGTGTGTGTGGCCTGTGTATGTGTGTGGCGTGTGTGTGTGTGTGGCGTGTGTGTGTGTCGTGTGTGTGTGTGTGGCGTGTGTGTGTGTGGCGTGTGTGTGTGTGTGGCGTGTGTGTGTGTGGCGTGCGCGTGTGCGGCGTGTGTGTGTGTGGCGTGTGTGTGTGTGCGGCGTGTGTGTCGTGTGTGTGTCGTGTGTGTGTGTGCGGCATGTGTGTGTGCGGCGTGTGTGTGTGCGGCGTGTGTGTGTGCGGCGTGTGTGTGTGTGTGGCGTGTGTGTGTGTGTGTGGCGTATTTGTGTACTGAGTGCACTGTGTGTGTACCGTGTATGTGTACCATGTGTTTGTGTGGTGTGTTTGTGTGGTGTGTTTCGTGTGTGTGTGGCGTGTGTGTGTAGTGCGTGTGTGTGGTGTGTACCATGTGTATGTGTGCTGTGTGTACCGTCTTTGTGGCATGTGTGGCATGTGTGGGCCTGTGGGCGTGCGATTGTGCCTGCGGGTGCCGCTGTGCTATGGGGCGTTTGGAGGCAGTCGCCCTCTGACACGACCGGCAGGGTGGAGAAACAACGCTGATGACAACGAGCGGAGCGCCGGGCGGCTAAAACGCAGCGAGGTGGCGTAGTGGGGAGCACAGCTGTTGGTGCATCTGCCAGTCATCTCAGTCGGTCAACCCATGGCACCTGCTGGGTCTGTCCCGTGACTTCCTGTCAGCAAACCCTCGACACTTCACGTGACCTCAGAGTGCACCTGGCCTCGCACAAGCGCCGTGGTGATGTCACCGCCACTTAGTGGCGTGTGTGCGTCCACACACGTTGAATTAGATATAATGTGAGGAGAGATGCTGTTCCCTAGGGGTGGCAATATCGATTCATAAGCTCACGATACATGCATTGAATTGTGAGCATATACAAATCTTCAATCGAAGCGCTGCCATGCAAACGCGAGAGTTAATTGATTCACCACGGGGGGGTGAACCTATGCTGCTCCGCTCTTCACCACGAGTTATTTCCCTTTGCAGGAAATCGTTCTACTCCGGCCATGCCTCGTTCGCAATGTACACCTTGATGTACCTGGCCGTGAGTATCCCCCCCTCACCCCACACACACACAGAGCACCCTCGCTCCGGGGTTCATGTGGCGGCCACTGACGCACTCCGTCTGCAGGCACCTTGACGGCCACACGCCCAGAAATCCAGAGGCAAAGCGCTTGAGCTGTGATGCTATTTTTCACAGATGTCCTGTATAACAGATGTGTCCCTCCCATCTCACGTGACCTTGTGCCACATTATCAGTCTTTGGATTCTTGGGCAGGAGTTGAGCTAGAGACAAGTTGGGCTCCTGCACCAGGGTAGTTTTTTTATGTTAGTTCTCCAAAACTGGTCTGAAAGGAGGATTACAAAAGAATACTCCTCTTCCAGAAGTCATTCCAGAAGTTATCTTTGTTGGAGGTGTCTGTGAAGAAGCAGATGATTGTGAAGGAGAGCTCAAGGAGACATTCCCGTGAAATAAAACAATAATCTCGGGGCTTCTCTTTGAAACCTCATCGGCCTTGCTCCGGTCACTGTATTCTTCGTGTGTCTCACTCAGTTGTATTGTCACAGGGCTCATAATTTTGGGACCACAAAGTGTCATAAACTATGTAATCCTGTATGACGTTCCACATATGATGTGTTCCATGTCACATTCTTTGCGGAACGTTGCCCGAGTGGCAAACTTAGAATGTTATTCCCGGTGTAACAACATTCCCATGAATGGTATTCCAAGCATAACAACGTTCACACTTTGTCGTCCTCGTGACAGCCAATCCTGCGAGTCGATCCTATGCGTGTCGCCTTCTCTTCGCCATTCTCTGTCATCCCCGCGCGTCTCAATCTCTCTGCCACCCTCTGTGTTATTATTGGTACGTATCATCCCCGTGTGCTCTTCTCTCTGTATGAACCTGTGCGCCACGACCTCTGCGCCATTCTCGTGCGTGCGTTTGTGTCTCACCCCACGTGTTGTTCTGTCCGTGCCTTGTTCGACAGCCGTTCTCTCCGTGTTCTCCCCACGTGTCGTATGTTGTTGCCCTCCCTGCGTCGTCCTCTCCGCGTCTCATCGCCAGGTGTCGTTCTCTCCGACGGTCTCGGCGAGTTATCCCCCGCGTCGCCCCCCTCTCTCACCCCCCGCCCGTGCCTTTGTCTCACCGCCGTCCGTCGTCCCCGTGCGCGCGTGCGCCGTCAGCTCTACGTGGAGTCTCGCCTGCGCTGGCGCGGCGCCCGCATCCTGCGCCCCTTCGTGGAGTTCGTGCTGGTGCTCATGGCCGTGTACGTGGGGCTGTCGCGCGTCTCCGACTACAAGCACCACTGGAGCGACGTCCTCGTGGGTCTCCTGCAGGGAGCCGCCGTCGCCTTCGCCACCGTGAGCCTCGCCCCGCACCGCCTTGAGCCTCTGTTCGCACGCGTCACCCCTTTGGTCGATCCGCTGCTGGATGACGGCAGGGGGCCTCGGGCACTCGTGTGGGTAGACGCGGATCGCCTGTCTTGCGGTCACCCACGGCTCTTGAGGGGCAATGTGATTCGGCGTCCGATACAAAACAAGCGGAGTTCTCCTGCACGGCTAAGAAACCCGCCTGGCGGACGACGGGTAGAGGCGAAGCGACAGGGGGTGGTGCGTGACGCCTCCTGCTCGGGCTGTTTGAGACAGAGTGGCCTCGTGACCACCACTGGACGAGAGGGCCTCTCCGCACGACCATGCGGCTCGTGGCGATAATTTGATTGTACATCACCACGCCGGCGTGTCCGGGTTGGCGAAGGTGGTTGGAGCGTGGACGTGGGAGGATGGAATCGCGGTCGAGCGAGCGGTTTTGCCGCACCGCCCTCTGCTCCCCGCACCACGCGGCGCCGTGGCGTGGCCGCCTGTGACCACCTGGCATGCCTGGTGGTCACTCGCCCAAGCGCCATCCAGGATTATTTTCCTGCTTAGCTTCACAGATATGACAATATGGGGTGCATTCTGGGTGCGTTTGTTCATGAGCACGATTAACAAAATGATGTGATAGGTTAAAGGTCAAAAGAGCAGAGTCGCATCTTGTGGAAAGACACTTAATTGGAGATGTATTTCCCAAATGTGCTATCATTCATGCATATCCCCATATCTTACTGCCATACTTCATATCGTATCACACTACGTTAAAAAAAGAAATATTTCTTGGGAAACCGGAGTACCCAGAGAAAGCCCACACATGACCCACGCACGTGTGAGGGGAGTATCGCTCGATCCCCGTACAGATGTAAGTTAATCCACTTGCTCTATTGCCATCCCACGTGCATGCAATGTGAGATCCCCCTACCGGCGCTCGCGTGCAGAGTGCCGCATTGCAGGCGCGTTACGCCGGCGCCCTCCCGAATGCAGTGCGTCTAACAATTATACAATGTTCACTTCGCTGGCCTCCAAATACAATAATACAATTGCCCCGCAGTCAACCGGGGCACACGCCTGCCTGGGAGAACACACGATGGGAAATTAGAGGAGTCAACAAAATCTCTCCTTCGGAGGAGCTCTCCCGTGCGGCCACCTGGCGGCGCTGTCTAGTTGGATAAATGGGGTGTGTGTGTGTGCGCGTTGGGCTCTCGGAGCCGAGTGCAGCCACTTGCTGAGCACTTTGTTTTTAAATCGGTTGGGAAGTTTTGTGCAGTCAGTTACGATCCACCAGACAACCATTGAACTCGCTGCACATTTAAGTTCCTTTTCTGTGTCACCATCTGGGCAGGGCTGCCGCGCCGTTAGAGAGCCCTGGCGACTTAGAGGCGGGGTGGAGGGGGGGGGGGGTTAGTGGATCACACAGAGACAATCTCAAACAAGGCCAGCGATTCAATGAGTACTGTACACATTTCAATCATTGCCGGCCAATCGGCACGCACCCCTTGAGTGGGAGCTGTGCGACGTGCGTGTGACTCTGCTTGTGTTTGCTTGGCAGGCGTTGCTCGTCTCGGACCTCTTTGTGGATGGCTGGAAGCAGGGGAAGGTGCGGAGCGATGCCAGCAATGAAGTGGTGAGGGAAGACGAGGAATCGGCGCGCACCGCTCCGCCCCTGGGCCCAGGCCTCGGGGCCGAATCGCGGCCTGGCTACGGCGTGTGTCGGCGACCGGCTCCCAACGCACGCCTCGAGGAGGAGGAGGAGGAGGAAGAGTAGGGGGGAGGGGGCAGCAGCTGTGGGGTCACGCGACGGGGGCACGGTTCTTCCCCCCCAGGCCGAGTCCGACAGCTTTTTTCTGCCTCTACGTTTCCACGGTGGCCGGTTTGCTCGCCGCTGCCTCCCTGCAAACTTCACCGGTGCGCGAGGAGCTTGCTCGCAGCCTATCCGTGCCGCAGTGACATTTGCCCGCAGGACTGGCACCGGCGAATGCACGGACGAGCGCGGAGTGGGCGCGGTCGCTACCTCCTTCGTCGCCATCGCGGTCGCCGCCGTCCCTTGGGCAAACGATCCTCGGGCATTCGTCGTAAATTTCAATCGCCATCGTCTGCACCGTTTCATCAGCTTCGTCTTGGTCACTGCGTCTTGTTTTTAGTTTCTGAAGAAGCTGCCGTCACGTGGAGTCAAACGTCGGACATCGTGCCAAACAACATGGCGGTACGACCCGAAAACACAGCGGAGAGCTGGCATACCATGGTTGTCATTAAAAGTCTTTTCACCATTGTCATGATCATCGTCAATACGATGATTATAATCGTACGGTAATATGCACTGTACTATGGACCACCTTACGTTCATCATCATCGTCCTGAGTACAAGATCATCACTATGGTCATAATTGCTACTCCTCATCCTCACCATATTTGCTGTTTAAGCCACTCATTTTTTTACCACTGGAGCTGTAAAGTGCCGACCCTAAATCACGAGGTAGTTCCGCACGACGCTCCACCAGGCGGGCCGTGCGGTCGAGCGCTCCCATCGACCGGTAGAGCGAGAAGCTGTCGTGGGGCCTCGTGTCCACTCCGTCGGACGCAGGGGCGGGCGGGGGGCCACGGGGTCACGGGAGGCGCAATGACCCCTCTCGCGTGGGAGCGCGGCGGAGGTGGCTGATGTCGGAGGAGTGGCCGTGAGTTTTACTCGGGGTCCCAGGAGGAACCACTGGTTGGGCTCGCAGCCACTTCTGTGGAAGAGACGGCCACAGCGCTGTGTGTGCGTGTGTGCTTTGTGTGTCTGTGCACAGACACAGTCCAAACGTTTTAAAAATGTGATTCGAAAGTATGCCCCGACTCGAACATTTTACATTTTTATTCTACTCTAGTAACTAACCGTCTATTTATGTACTATCATGTAGTGTTATTGGCATGTCAAAATGTTAACATCTAGTTAAGCCTAATGGGCTTGTATTACCATTGTATTAGCCTACAATCTCATTTTCAAGACGTTTTGACCGCCGCGATGTGTATATAAGCGAATCATGCGTATTATTGCTTCAGTCCCACGAATTTAAAAAGGTAAATAAAATTGTCTCTACTCTCATTCCCTTGCTACCCATGTTACTCGGCACCCACCTCGCGTCACGAGCACCCGGCCAGCCCCCCGTGACGTCCCAGCACCTGGCACGGGCACGCGGTGGCACCAGGGGCTCTCCCGAGCTCCCATCGGGCAGGTTGATGGCCTCTAGTCTGTGCTGACGCGGCTGTGGGACCGGGAGAGGATGGGTGGTGGTGCGTTTGGCTTCGTGCTTGAACCGGAGCAATTCACCGACCGACATCCATGGCCCTGCTATTGTATTAATGGAGAGTACGGTTGCGGGGATGCCTCTTGTTCACCCTGTGGTTGTTGTGTGGTTGGCTTGTGGTTGTGGAATGTGACTGCAATGTATGCAAGGATGCGTCTGCTGTGCATTCCCTTTGTGCAGTGTAGTTTATGGAATGTGTTAATCTGAACTCCTTTGGTCCTGGAATGTGGGTATGAATGCTTTGTGATTGTCTGGCCTTGTCACGTGGCTGTGGGCAACTGGGTTTAGGGGCAACTTGCAACTCACATTGGTACCTGTATCACGATTCTCATCACAATGCCTACAGTCATGAGATCACCGCCTGACTAATCAAGGGTTGATACAAAGTCCTGATGGCATTGGAATGTCAGGAACAACTTCAAATGTGCTCTTATTAAAAGAAGTCTGCCTTAACTTTGACTTCCCAACAGCCTAAAATTCTGTGGTGGTGGAAATAATTTACGGCAAAGTATTTTTGATTTCAGTGGAGACCTGGGTAAAAACACACAGGGTTCGTGATAGTGTGGAGTACAAAGTGTGGAAAAATTAATGTTGCATTTTTTTACCTATAAAATACGTTACTAACAGATGTACAATGATGACAATTGGGAATATTTGGGGCTGAACAAGACTTGCAGTGGTTGTTGGGCTGGTCGTACGTGCCAACCATGTGTGTTTCGATTAAAATGCCCTGGAAGAATTGAGCAGGGAATTTGAGATATTCTCTCCTCGTGGCCTCCGTCAGACCTGGAGACGGTTTCATGCCAGATGGTGGTGGGAATATTTGACCATCGAGTCGCTTGGAGATCAAACTCCTTTCTGATATGCGATTGTTGTTGCCTAAATTATTGTTCTGCAAGTGCATGTACATTTCTACTGGAGGGAGAGACTCTATGTTTAGCCAGGGATCGCGTAATCATGTATATGTACCCTGTCTTATTGAACCACACATTATTAATATAACAATATGGAAGGTCCTGATCCCCAGTTGTGGACATGCATGCATATTTAAATCGCTATTTTAAGCAATAGCAACAACAACAAACGATTATCTTGTTGCAAAAAAAAATGAACCGGGCTGCCCTTCGTCAACGTGGAAGCCTCCCCACAAACAACCTCCCCATCCCCCACCTCCTAGGGTCGCAGCCACCAATCCCCACAGATGATCGCAATCGGAGGTCAGCGGCCGGATAGCAGCCACGCAATGACTGGCTCACCCCACCAGCGATTGGATTAATTGTCACGATTCAGGGATTTGACTTTAATTTAAGAATAGGTTATTTTTTTGTCTCGTTTTTGCCAGACCGATTCGGTCTCCGTTTGTACAGTTCTGTTTGCTTCATTCATTTGCTACTACTTAGAATAATAATTTGAATGTTAGGAATTACTTTAAGAAAATAAAGTAAATGATTTCACGACCACTGTATTTGAGTGCTGTTGTGAGCTGTGTCGTAACACAAGACCATGTCGATGCTTTTTACAATCCGGTGTAAATATCGACTTAATGAAGACCCCCTAGGAGTAGCGAGAGACACATCAAGCCGCGCTGTGCTCCTGCCTTGTTGTTCATCTCATATTCAGTCAAAATCTTTGAATAATTACCAATACATTTTTTTATTAATGTGTATTTTATGTTAAACAGATTTTTTATTTTATTTTCCAGGATAGCTGCGGTATGTCTCAAGATTTATTCTGCAGTGGCATATTTAGTTAATTATTTTGGAAGTGTGCTTTGAATGTGTAAGGGAACTGGAGCACGTAGAGCAACCCCAATCATGTGAGAAGATAAAAGTGGACGGTCCACGGATTGGTTTTCAATCCCACTTGCTTTAGTGCCATTTCCTGGTTATTTTTCAGCCCAGCGGAATTAGACGTCTCATAACCTTTGCCTCTAAATGGCTGATTTTACAGACAGTGTCCTTGTTTATCATTGTAATGTTAATTTATAATCACAAAATATATTCGAACGTGGGTCAAAGAACAAAAAACTACACATGAAATGAACAACAAATATTCTGACTAGATTTGAGAAGCGCTTATTAAAATCTGACAAACGAACTTCATAATGTGGAACCTGAGCACCACACCACTATCTTATTAATCTATTTGTATAGGCTAGGATGAGTGAATATGGAACTAATCGCAGACAGGTTCTACACACATTCAGACCCCAGTGACATTCGACCCTGCATCCTGCTGTCTCTCGAATGCCTCTCGATGTTAAACTGCGCTGCCAGTGAGGTGGCTTGAGTAGCACAGAGGAGCGTGACCCATGTCATGGTGTTGAGCCAACACCCCTGAGAGGCTGGGTTCAAGCCATGGGTCATCTCTCTGGCTAATGGGCTCCTCATGTGTGGCGAGTCGCTGGTGTCAGTGGATTCGTCGACCACTCGTCACCATCATAATTCAAATGTACGATGCGCATTCTATTCTAGGATCCCAATGCGCATTGCATGAAAAGCAGGAAACAAAAACAGAACCAGGTGCAACCGAAAAAAGTGAAGAGGGAAGGCCACTTTAAAGAGATGGGTTTTCAAAGCAGACTTGAATCTATCTGCTGACTCCGATTGCCCTGATTTCAAGTGGCGAGGCGTTCCATAGTTCGGGTGCCACGCCAACAAAAGCCCGGTCACCGAAAGAGCGCAACTTTGACATGGGGGTGCTGAGCAGTTGGAGATCAAAATATCTTAAGAACATTGATGGAATATATACATGTATTAGTTCCTGCAAGTAATGTGGGGTGAGCCCTTTTAAAGCCTTAGGTCAATAGCAGTATTTTAAAATCCACTCGGAATTTGACTGATAGCCAATGAAGAGATAAGAGGGCTGGTGTAATACAACATCACACACCGTTCCATCGTGGAATCAAGGGCCTGTGATTGTGCGTGACTTGTGCCTGCCCCTGTTGGGAGTGGCACTACAAACGGCATCGTGAATGCTGTCGTCACCACGGCGGAAGAGTCTCGTGGATGAAAAAAAAATTCAGGAATAGACGCCTCCTTTCACAAACAAACAAACTCAGCATATGGTGAATGTTATGTAAGATGAAAAGCCATTGCCCCAAATGTTGCCTATTATACATATTTTTTCTCTTGTAAGGTAATGCCATTGATTAAAGTGAGTTTAAATATATTATTATTTGTTCTTGTGCACCACTGGCAAGGCAGTATCACCAAATAATTCGTTTTAAATCAAACCACAGTCACGTTCAAAAATAGACTTTTACACGACAGCGCCATTTCTTCCTGCCAGCTCCAGAGAGCATCAAGAGTGACGCGTGCGATGAGACCACCAAAGTGTGTCTCGTCTCTGGAGCTCAGCAGAGATGGAACGGGCCTGGCTGGTGCTTGGGTGGGTCGCCACAATGGCCTGGCCGGTGTTGCTGGCGAAGGGCTGCGAGGTGGCTTGGGGATGCTCCAGGTTTGGCGAGATGCCTCCTCACGCGCGTGTGGACTTCGTCTGCTTGCTCCGGTTTCCTCACTCGGGGAATTTGGCCAAACATCCCAATGGCAGGACCTCCTGAAAGAAGAACATCTTTGAGAAGCTTGTTGTTTTACTGCGCAAAATAATTGGCACAATTGTTGGATTTAGCGGTCAGCAGTAAACAACACACAAACCATCACACACCGATACAATGTTGCGAATTAATTGCCTGTAATTTAACGTTGGGGAAAACTACACTGGCATTCGTAGGTCTCGTCTTGTGTATGATGTACGACATTCTGCTGCTGCTGCCTCGACAACATTTGGAGAAACGCCCGACGGACGCAGCATGACCAGGCATCTGCAGCGGAGAATCAAGCACCCCCCCGACTCCCAGAGTCTGCGTGAACTGTCTCTACGTTAGTTTAACACGTAGGCTTTCGCGACCAATATTATTCATAATAAAGGTGTTTGGGTTAGATCGCGTCTCTACGTCGCCAATGCAGCACTGCGCCGCTCAGCTGCTGGGGCTGTCGCTGCGGTGTCCGGAGCTGTATGCAACATCGCGGCCACTCCACGACTGATGTTGTCAGTGAAGCTAATGCAATAAAAACATTTAATCGGCAAATGGATGCCAATTTTTGCTATTGAATTCTCATTAAATGAAAAAAAAAACGTCCTTCAGGAAAACCTTCAGTCAACAGGCAAGGGACCATCCTGGAAGATAACGCAACAGAATTATTTCTTGTGTCTCCTCAATAGGGCTAATTCCATCATCAGCCACACACACCGTGCACACAATTTAGTTCTAGATTTGTACATCATGATCATCAGCGGCGCGTGCGCTCGGCGTCCAGCTGCAGTGGCAGCTGCTGGCCAGCAGTCGGCGCGGTGTCACTGCCACGTGTCCCAATGTCAGTCCCAGGATGCATCCATCCACGCTTCAAGCTTTGTGCACAGCCGTACATCGTGTTCATCTTTGGGTATATGTTTCAGCACTCAGATGTGTGCTATACTGAATGAAGTGAAAATCATAACTTATACAGCTTGATGTGTTGTTTTTATGCATTGCATGTTACGCTTGAGGTATGCATGTGTGCTGAACGTCTTTCGCACCGTACGTAGCCAACCGTGCATATCGGAGGTGTCTAATCATCGGTTTCTACTTACATCGCCGTGCCAGGCTAGAAGAATCGTCTAAACCAAGAAGCGTCTGAACCAAGAATCGTCTGAATCAGCGTGGCGTCGCTGACACCCAGGCTGGAGTCGCCCTGTCCCCGCGTGGCTCGCGGTATTTCCCAGGCGTGGAGATCCCCGCCGTATCCCAGCCGTGGGAGTGACATTTCCTGCGGTCTCGACAGCCTCTCTGGGCTTCTGGTCACGAGGGCTTTCACGCCGCCCGTGCCGTGCCAGGGTCGTGCGCAGCTCATCGCGGTGCGCCATGAGCTGCGCGTGGTGCTCGGGGCGCGTGGCCACGGGATGCGTGGCCACGATTGTGGCCACGGGGCACGTGGTGCTTGGGGCGCGTGGCGCTCGGGACGCGTGACCACGGGGAGCGTGGCCACGGGGCGCGTGGTGCTCGAGACGCGCGGTGGGGCGCCTTCGACGCCGATCCCAGCCGATGGAGAGGAGCGAGTTCGCACTTTCGCGATGCTGCCGTGGCCCAGTCAAACGCCGGTGCTTTGTGGACACTGGGGCCTTAGCATTTAATGGGCTTTCCTGAAACTTCAGCTGCTAATTGCCCACTTATTCCCTCCCGGGGGACGTTCTCTTCAAGAATGGGCTCTGCGCGTCTGGGATTCTAACGGCTGAAGTCGCTCCCCTTTCAAGGTGCCGTTGAGTGAACTTCACCAAAATAAAATGAAGCAAACCTCCTTTGTTGTTGTTGTTCCAGATATAGCTTAAAGATCGCTTTCTCCAGTGCACGAGGGAGCTCTGCAGATAATTTTGCAACTCGGGTGCATGTGCTGTCCGTGCTCTACACGTGGCTGTGTTTTTTTGTGACGCGTGCATCTTTGTGTGGGAGTATTTGTTGATGGTGAAATCGGTGTGTGTGTGTAGTAATCCTTGTGTGTGTGTGCGCGCGCGCGCACATTTATAGTAAGTGTGTATTTAAAGTTGTGCTTAGTTAAATACTTATCTGTCACTTGAGTGGCTATATTTGAGTAAATGAGGTAATTATGCAACGTTGGGGTTGTCATTAGCGAATGCACAGCTCACTGCTCGCCACCAATTAACATCCAACACAGTTGTTTTTACTGAACCCAGGCAGTGTAGTTACAGCCGACAGTCACGTGGCATATGCAGGAGGTCGTGTGTTCGATCCCTGACGCCTGCTGCTGTGTGTGTGGAGTTTGTGTCCCTCTCCCGTGGTCGTGTTGGGGGCTTCTCTCTCCCGGCCCTCTGTTTTTCCCCCTCCACGCTCGGAGTCAACGTCACGCGTTTTTAACGCATTTGGCCGCTATGCATTTTACAAGCTATACGCCACTTCGTTGAGCTATCGTTTGTAGTCCAGGACGTTTCTGATAAAGAGCTACATAGCTCAGTGGGCCTTGTAAAATAGAAAGTTTAGTTTAATGTAAGCTTTGCGAGGATCTCATTCAAGGAAGAGACTGTACTCCTATAGCAAAAACAAACGAAAAATAGCAACCCTTCATCATGAACCGGTGGTGGAAATTCCACATTCCTGCGGCAGGAGTCGGTATTGAGTGTTGTTTTTAACACGTAGGCTTTCGCGACCAGTATTTATCATAATAAAGGTTTTTGGGTTAGATCGCGTTGTTTATAAATGTGTCGTAACCCTCCACCGCACCGACACGGCCAATCAGTAAAAGATGTGTCACGTTGACAAAAGACAAAATAGTTCACTACTTTAGCCCACCGGTGTGTTGAAGAGTGCATCCACAACATTTACAATTTGAGTAGTACGACGTTTCGCTGGATATTACATGCCAGCATCGTCATCCTGCACTGTTTAAGACCGGAAGCAGGTGGA